CCTCCTCCTCTTACTCCTCCTCCTCCTCCTCTTCCTCCTCCTCCTCCTCCTCCACTTCTTCCTCCTCCTCCTCCTCCTCCTCACCCTCCCTCGGAGGTTCCCGGGAGCGGGGAGGTGGCGCCGGCTGTACATGCGAGGCCAGACGGCCTCTCGGGCGGCAGGCGAGAGGGCCTGGCGAACCAAGTGTGTCGAGCAGCGTCGCCCTCCGAGAATGTCTCCGTGAATACATTTGGGCCGTTGTGCCAAATGCATGGTGTGATCAGCTCCCCAAGCCCTGGCCATGCTGCATGTGCTTTGCACTGTGCGTGGCCTTTGCTTGCCTCTCTACCTACACTGACCGTCTGCGAGCTCGTGAGCGCTGCTTGCCGCAGAGAGGCGGGCATGTCCCCAGTGAGTTGTTCTTTTCTCGCAAACCTTGACGGCTCAAGGTGTGTTGCTTGGACACGCTCGCGGGGCCTTGCAGCACGCATGTAGTCTTACGTCGGGCCTGTCCCTCTACGAGAGGAATATTCAAGCCTACTAAACATAGTATGGTGACGATTTCTCGTGCTCCTGGCTATTTTTGACACTTCGAGTGTCAGTGTCTTATTTTCTTCCAAAGTCCGCCTGTGGGAGGACATGCCCGACCTAACGGTAGCCCGCTTTTCACGAGACTCACGAGATTGCTGGCCCATTGAGGTGCGGGCACATGATCGCTGCCTCTCATATGCGTGCGCTTCGGTGCCATCTATTTTGACTGGCTGCGCCCTGTGCCGCCCCCCCAGGGCTGAGCAATGAGCAATCTTGCGGTTCTGTTTCTTCGACCATGGTGGGATATGTTGGGGGCATCTCGAGGCCTCCTTGGGGGTATCCTGGCGCTGTATCGTGCGGCCCGTGTGGCACATCTCTGGGGGCCTCTTGGCGGTATCTGAGGGCTGTTCTGAGGCCTCTTTGGGGTATCCTTGGCGCGAGACCTTCGGCTTTCGATGTGCGTCCGCTCTGTCGGGTGAGTCGTCGGGCCCTCCTGGGCCATCCTAAGAAGCTCTTGGGCCCTCCTCGACCGCCCTGCGATTTTGAGGTCCCGTTCGAAGCCTCCTCGCCGCCCATCAAACCAACCCAACCCAACCCGAAAGCCCCGATTTGCCATCCGTTTCCAGTGGGGGCGGTCGGCTAACGTGAGGAAAAAAAAAAAACGCACATGAAGCCCGTACCCCCCCCCCCAACCCGAAATTCGGGCGAGATTCGGGTCTTCGGGTTGGGTTGGGGTGGTTTGGTAGGTAGTCACCTCCTGGGTCTCTGGGTGCGTCCTGGAGGCCTCTCGTGCCCTCGTGTGGCCTTCCGGGGGCGCGCCCTGCGCGCGGAGGAGCACCGGGCAGAATGGTCGGGGGCTGAGGCACGCCACCCGATTTTGTTGACGCCGCAGGGCCCCCGGGCTCCCTGGCAGAAGGCAGAAGCGAGTCAGGGCCTGAGAGGCAGGAGGCCGGGCACAGGAGACGGGGCGCGCGCGAAGATGTCAGGCACGAGCAGGACGACATTCCAGCATGGAAGTGCACAGCCCAGCGCCCCAACGGGGGCCAGCGGATCGGCTGCGCTCGATCATGCGTGCGTCGCCTACGTCGTGTGGGTGCTCTTCGGTGTGCTGGCCTTCGTGACGCACCTGGGCGACGACCTGCTGACGGTGGCGTCCTCTTGCGTCGAGCACTGGGACTCCGGTCGGGCGACGATAGCTGTACACATACGTGGGCCCCGGGCCAGGCCCCTGGGCTCAGGATCGGTGCGCACGCCCTCCTTGCTTCGGCCAGGCAGGCATGCCTCGACCCTGTTGCCAGGAGGCGCCTCGCCCTGGGCGGCAGTATAGGTAGATGCATCTCGCCTCGCTGGCAGGGTCGCAGCCCGTTCGTCTCGCGACGTGGTCGGTCTGCTCGCCGGGGCATGGGCGTCTGCTGGCGGCCTTCGCGTCCCTGCTGCCCGCGAGCGGTCGTGGCAGCCCAGGGCGGTCGGTGGACAGCTGGGCCGCCTTCCGCAACAACGTGGCGCTGGCGGCAGTCTTCGTCGGGCAGCACTCCCTGATGCGTTGGCTGAAGGGCGTTGAGGGGGCCACCATTGACAGGGTGCAGCCCCGAGCTTTGAGGATGCCGCTGCGCTGGATGAAGTCCCGGGTGGCCTACAATATGTTCTCAGCGTTGACGCTGCATGTGTTTTTGATCAAGTATTTGCCGTATCGGTCGGAGGAATTCATCCTCGGTTTTGTACCGTCAGAGTTGGAGCTCCCGATATCAGCTGGGACGCACGCCCTCTTCGCACTCATGGTCATGATTCCGTGTTTCGGCGTTTTCTTGGCAGATCCTGGTACTCACAGGTTGTTGTATGGAGATGCGCTCGACGAAGGTGGCAAAGGGTCCAAGGCCAGCAGCATCGATGCCATAACGCAGATGGCCCACAGCGTGCACAAGAGGGCAGGCCTGCTGGGATTCATCCTCTTCTCGGGAATGTCCATCGTCCCCAAAACGATATACATCGACGACGTCGTCGTGCGCGTAGTGGCAGCCGTCTACCTCAGGCAGCGGTCGCCCCATTTCCGCATGTTTTCCAGGCGAGTGGCCGGCTCCCACGAGGCCGCCTGGGCCGTCCGCGCGATGATGATCTGATGGGCTTGCTATCCACCACCACCACCACCATAAGTGGGAGGGGGGAAGGAGGAGGAGGGGGAGGAGGTGGAGGATGTGGAGGAGGAGGAGGAGGAGGAGGACCCCCTCCCCCTCCTACTTCTGGTGGTGGTGGTGGTGGAAAACAAGCCCACCATGATCGGGTCGGCGCTGCTGGCTCGACTGGGTGGGCGGGACCAGCGCCCGACAGGCCAGCATCGTGGAACCGACTCCAATCCCCATCCCCACCCGATCCCCATTCCCAGCGCCATCCCCACCTCCCCATCTTCCATCTCCCTCCCGTCCCTATCCCCCACCTCCATCCCATACCCATCCCCCTCTCCATCCCATCCCTGCCCCCCCTCTCCCTCCCGTCCCCATCCCCCATCTCCATCCCATCCTGTCCCCATCCCCATCTCCCCGCCCCCCTCTCCCCACCCCCACCTCTCCGTGCCCGGTCCTGTCCCCACCGTCCCACCGCCCCCACGTGGGGGCTGTGGCCCCTCGACGCTCGCAGGGGGAACGAGCAGCCCGCATACATGCCCACCTTTGGGGGGGGGGGCGGGGGGAGGGGACCGGGGGGGTGGGGGGGGGGGAGGGGCGGGGACCTGCCAGCCGGCCCGGCAGGCTCCCGCCCCGTCTGGGGCGGGGAGGAGATGATGAGAGGCGGAGGAGGAGGAGGAGGAGGAGGAGGAGGAGGAGGAGCGGAGGAGGAAGGAGGAGGAGGAGAGGAGGAGTGAGGAGGAGGAGCGAGAGGAGGAGGAGGAGGAGGAGGAGGAGGGTAGGAGGGTAGGAGTATTTAGTAGAGTAGGAGGAGGAGGAGGAGGAGAAGGAGGAGGAGGAGGAGGAGGAGGAAAGGAGGAGGAGGAGGAGGAGGAGGAGGAAGGAGGGATGGAGGAGAGGGAGGAGGTGGTTAGAGGGAGGGAGGAGGAGGGAGGAGGAGGAGGAGGAGGGAGGAGGAGGAGGAGGAGGGGGAGGCGGAGGAGGAGGAGGAGGACCCGTTTTCCACGATGCTCCACGGGAGGAGTGCCGTGGCTCGAGCTGCGGCTCTGCGGGGGCGCCGCGCTGGTCGCGCTGTTCTGTCTGTGCTCGATGCGGCTCAGCGGCTGAGGCGCGGCAGGCAGGCTGGCGCCGCGTCCGTCGGTGCTCTCTCTTGCCGGCTTATACGGCCGCGCTCGGTTCTGGCGGCAATTCGTGTTGCCGATCGGGGCAACGAGTCTTGATTCGGGGACCAATGGGAGGAGGAGGAGGAGGAGGAGGAGGAGGAGGAGGAGGAGGAGGAAGTGGAGGAGGAGGAGGAGACGTAGGAGGAGGCGGATGATGAGATGATGATGAGGATGATGATGATGATGATGATGATGATGTGATGATGATGATGATGATGATGATGGATAATGGTAATGGTGATGATGATGATGATGATGATGATGATGATGATGATTATGATGATGATGATGATGATGTGATGATGATGATGATGATGATGATGATGATGATGATGATGATGATGATGATGATGATGATGATGATGATGATGATGATGATGATGATGATGATGATGATGATGATGATGATGATGATGATGGGGAGGAGGAGGAGGAGGAGGAGGAGGAGGAGGAGGAGGAGGAGGAGGAGGATGAGGATGAGGATGAGAATGAGGATGAGGATGAGGATGAGGATGAGGATGAGGATGAGGATGCTAATGAGGATGAGGATGAGGATGAGGATGAGGATGATGATGCTCATGCTGATGCTGATGCTGATAATGATTATGATGCTGGTGCTGGTGCTGGTGCTGATGCTGATGCTGATGCTGGTGATGGTGATGGTGATGGTGATGGTGATGATACTGTAAATGATGATGAAGAGTATTTTAATGATTGTGATGATGCTGATTGTGATGATGATGTTGCTGCGGATGGTGTTGATGGTGATGCTGATTGTGATTGTGATGATGACGATGATGATGATGAGGAGGAGGAGGCGGATGATGCTTATGATTAATCTAATGATGATGTTGAGGATGCTGTTGATGATGCTTGTGATGATGTTGCTGCTCTCGCTGCTGCTGCCGCCGATGATGATGATGATGCTGAATCTGCTCATGATGATGCTGATGCTGCTGATGATGATGATGCGGCTGCTGCTGCTGCTGCTGACGGTTATGAGGATGAGGATGCTGATGGTGATCATGATGATCATGATGATGATGCTGATGATGATGGTGATGCTGATGATGATGGTGATGATTATGATGATGCCGACTGTGATGATGCTGCTGATGATGGTGAATATGATTGTGATTGTGATGATGATGATGCTGATGATGATGATGATGATGATGATGATCATGAGGAGGAGGAGGCGGCCGATGATGATATTGATGATGATGATAATGATAATGATGATGACGATGATGATAATTCTGTCGATGATGATGTTACTACTCTTGCTGCCGCTGATGATGATGCTGCTGATGATGATGCTGATGATGATGCTGATCACGGTGATGATGATGCTGACGAGGATGCTGATGCTGATGCTGCTGATGATGATGATTATGATGCTGATGAGGACCTTGATAATGATGCTGATGCTGATGCTGATGCTGATGCTGATGCTGATGCTGGTGCTGGTGCTGATGCTGATGCTGATGCTGG